ACTAGTAGATACCTCCGAGGACCCATCTATGAAGGAGTTTACCACGTTCTTAACAAAATACTGCAAATCAGCTACCGTATCGCAAGGAAGTGTCAAGGTAACCACAAAAGGACTCAAACCAAACAAATCTATCACATTATTCAGCAGCCAACCAGAACGAAAGCTTGAACAGGGAAGGAAGAATAAGTCATTTTCCTGTCCTGTCTGTAATACACAACCGGGTCACTTGCTGATAAACTGTCAATCGTTCAAAGATAAAACACCAACCGAACGGCATCAAACAATCAAGGAATTGAAAAGATGTTTTATCTGTTTCAGTGCGCACATGGCCAGTGAATGTAAAAACCAACGAAACTGTTCTACGTGTGGGGGTAAGCACCATACTCTACTGCATTTGGAAAAAACCGAACCGAACGTTACCACGACCCATTTAACCGTTGCGGCTGCAGAAACAAAAGGTTATCATACGTCCGTTTTATTAGCGACAGCCTCTGTAGTTCTGCAAAACAAAAATGGTCAATCGGTTACAGTAAGAGCACTACTTGACAGCGCAAGTCAAAGTAGCTTTGTCACTGAACGTTGTGTCCAGCTTTTAGGCTTAAAAAGAGAAAAGTGTGATGTAACCGTTCAAGCGTTGTCCGGAGCTGAAGTCCCAGCGGTAAGAGGAAGAGCTAATGTCGAAGTACGACCGGTCGACCAACAAAGTCCCATGTTCAGCATTGACGTTTTAATTCTAACGCGTATTACTGGACCAGTTCCGTCGAAAAGAGTGTGGAATCATTCATGGCCACACATCAAAGGTTTGAAGTTAGCCGATCCATCGTTTGCCGAAGCGTTACCAGTTGATGTCTTGCTCGGCGCTGATGTCTTTCCACAGCTTCTCTTAGGCGACAAGGAAGAAGGTGAGGTAGATGAACCGATAGCGCTATCTACGGTGTTTGGCTGGGTTTTGATGGGTAAAACGACCAACGGTCCAAAACAACAAATTATCACCTTATGTTCGTCTGAATCCGTAAATCATACGTTACAACAATTTTTCGAGATCGAAGAAGTTCCAAAAGTTGAGAAAAATAACCCAGCCGATTTAGAGTGTGAGCAAATTTATCAAACAACCACAACACGACAACAAGATGGACGATACATAGTGCATCTTCCGTTCACACGAAATCCCCCTCTACTTGGGAAATCCAGAGACGTAGCGCTGCATCGCTTACGAAGTTTGGAAAATAAGTTCAAAAAATCACCAGAACTTCATAAAGAGTACAATATGGCAATGTATGACTACTTAGAAACAGGTCACATGTCCGCTGTAGTGAAAAAATCCGACGGTGAAGAAAATATGTATTATATCCCACACCAAGCTGTATTACGTCCGGAAAGTACTACTACTAAATTGCGGGTCGTGTTTGATGCGTCCGCAAAAACTTCTTCGGGTCACTCATTGAACGACAATCTTTATTGCGGTCAAAGATTACAGCAGGACTTACCGGGAATTGTTTTACGTTTCCGACTTCATTCTGTTGTTTTTACCGCTGACGTAAAACAAATGTTCAGACAAATTGTTGTGACCGAAGCTCACCGACCGTACCAACGCTTGCTTTACCGGTTCTCTTTGGATGAACCAGTTCAAGAATATCAAATGAACACGGTAACTTTTGGACAAAAGTCATCTCCATTTCTCGCCATCCGCACTCTGCATCAGTTGGCAACTGATGAAGCAGTAAATGAACCACTTGTACAAACAGTTGTTAAACGTGATTTGTATGTAGATGACATAGCAACCGGAGCCGAAAGCGAAGAAGCTGCAATAGATCTGCAGAAAAAACTCGAAAACACGTTTGCAAAAGGTCACTTTGAGTTACGCAAATGGTCAAGTAATTCCGACAAATTACTGAGTAACATTCCACTCGATCACCAACAAACACTACCAGTGACGTTTGAAGAACATGAGTTGACATATACCAAAGTCTTGGGACTAAATTGGGATCCGAAGGTTGATTCACTAAGCTACAAATATCAACCCAATCCGGTTAAATACAGCAAGCGAGCTATTTTATCCGAGATCGCTAGAATCTATGACCCTCTAGGTCTATTGGCACCAGTAACCACGGTTCTAAAACGTTTGATAAAATATCTATGGGTCTTGAAAGTTGACTGGGATGACATTATACCCGAAGATGCTAAATATGCGTGGCAGCAATATCATCAAGAGTTACCAATCCTGGCAACCTTGCGTGTACCCCGATTAGTAACCAGTCCAAACGCACTCTATGAACTACACGGTTTCAGCGATAGTTCGGAAGCCGCGTACGCAGCAGTAGTGTATTTGCGGGTATGTACAAGTGATAGAATAGGTTGTCATCTCTTAATGGGTAAGGCAAAAATTTCTCCAACCACAAAAATGTCCATCCCGCGGTTAGAGCTGTGCGGTGCGTGGTTATTAGCACACCTTTTGGATTACGTCTCCAAAAACCTAAAATCTTTATCCATTGGCACCGTAACCGCCTGGACCGATTCCACTGTTGCGCTGGCATGGATTAAATCCCCTACTAGTAGGTTAAAAACGTTTGTTGCCAACCGAGTCGCCCAGATTCAGCTGTTGACTAAAGGGTACACGTGGCGTCACGTTCCAACCGAGGAGAACCCTGCTGATTGCGCTTCACGGGGTCTAAGTCCTCAACAACTTACTAACCATGACTTATGGTGGAAAGGTCCTACATTTTTGTGTCAACCTAAAAATACTTGGCCAGCTCAAAACGCTGACAGTCCAGACAGCCGTTTGGAAGAAGAGGCGGAAGAGAAGCCAATCACGCTTATATCTCAGGTAAAAGAAGAAGAGAGCCGCCTTTTATATCAATCTGATAATCTGCAAAAAATTTTGAGACTTACGGCTTACTGGTTGCGTGTTGGAGATCATTTATTGGGAAAACCTTCGGCTTGTATTTTCCCTCCGACAGTGGCCGAAACCGAGAGATCTTTACGATCGTTAATACGATGGACGCAGCGAGTATTTTTTGCAGACATCAAAAAAGCTATTGCTACAGACAAACAAGTACCTGCATCCGTACGTAAGTTATCACCTTTCTTAGATGAGAAATCGTTAATCAGAGTAGGTGGTCGCTTGAAAAACTCACCAATTCCTTACGACGAAAAGTACCCCATCTTGCTACCGAAAAATTCTAAATTGACTGAATTGCTGATAGATTTTGTGCATCGTACTAAGAGTCATCCGGGAGCTCAAACTACACACAACATTTTACGCCAAAACTACTGGATTCTTTCGGCTCGTAGCATCATCAGGAAGCGAATACACCAATGTATCCCATGTTTTCGAGTAAAACCACGACCAAACCCGCCCTTGATGGGAAATCTTCCAGTGTTTCGAGTTACCCAGGTCAAACCGTTCAGTCGCGCTGGTGTAGATTTTGCCGGTCCTTTTCAAGTGAAGGCCGCAATGTTACGGAAAATTAAAGTTACCAAAGCTTACCTTTGCATCTTTGTTTGCATGGTTACCACAGCAGTTCATATCGAGCTCGTGTCAGACATGTCCACGCCTCTTTTTATTGCCGCCCTAAACCGGTTTATTAGCAGACGGGGTCGTTGCACAGATATTTACAGTGACTGTGGCACGAATTTTGTGGGCAGTCAGCGATACCTAAAGGAGGTAGATACCATAATTAGAGAATCAAAATTCGTTCATCACGTCATCAGTACGCAGATTCACTGGCATTTTAACCCGCCCGCAGCACCACACATGGGAGGTCTGTGGGAGGCAGCCGTCAAGTCTGCTAAGACATTACTTCACCGTGTGGTTCAAGATAGGATTCTAACCTACGAAGAGCTCAATACCGTTCTACACCAGGTAGAAGCCGTTCTTAACTCGAGGCCTTTATGTACCATGTCATCCGACCCTAACGACTTCACGACCTTAACCGCAGGACATTTTCTTACTATGGAGCCTCTAGTCGCTGTTCCATCTCCTCAGGATGAAATTAGTCAAACCCATATCAGTACCCACAAGCGTTGGTCTTTAATACAGCAGATACATCAACATTTCTGGTCTCGGTGGAAACATGAGTATTTACACAAACTGCAGGAGAAAACCAAATGGAATCGTCAAGTTTCAAATCTAAAAATTGGCGATTTAGTCATTCTCCAAGAACCGACCCCTCCACTCACATGGAGTACAGCTCGAGTGGTTGATACGGTTTCTGGAACTGATGGAGTCGTCCGAGTTGCACAAATACGCACCTCCGCGGGCAAGATCCTCCGCCGCCCGGCGGTGAAGCTTTGTCCGCTACCGTCAAACGTTTGAAGACCTACGGTTCTTCAAGGTGGGCGGTATGTTCAAGCGTTATCAAGCCGGGCACCGTCCCACCACCACCGACTGCACCGACCACCACCGCACCATATCACTTACTATCCGTTTTTTGTTTTTTTTACCGCATCGTACCGACCGCACCGTTAACCGCACGCGTAAAAGAAACTTTACACCGTTTTTCGTTATTTGTTGTTGTTTTTTAATTATTAATTACATATCAACCGCCTGCTGTGATGAGCTCGTGTACTTGTGCGACGTTCGAAGAATTAGTCTTGTTCTCGTAAAGTAATCAACAGTTTGCGGGCTTTCACCACCGTTCAGACGACCGTACCGTCTTGCAATACCACCACTACCGACCGTCACCGTTCTCGTATTTTCAAGTTGTAAATATTTGCTTATTGTATAGTTTTAGTTTTAAGTCCTTAGTAATTGTTGTTGTAGTGCGCTGGCCAGCCGGTAAGACATTTGTATACTTAACTTTGGTTTAATAGTAGTCTGCATGCTTTAATTATCATTTGTTTTTTTTTTGTATATATATTTGAAACCAATACAGTCCACAACATTACCGAACAGTTACATAACTCAACGCTCACTGAAATCATCAAGGGGTAGTAGTTAGATTAATTGCGAGGCGTGTGTTATAGTCCCTAAAAAAAAAAAACTGCTATTATTTGTATTTTCACTTACCGCCCTTATTGGCCATCTGCACGTTCCTAGGGCGGCGGCGGGGACCATTTTCGAGCTGGTACAATGCCGTTTGGGTGCAATTTAAGCGATGCGTTTTTTTCCCTAATTTGAACTTTAAATCGTTTAGCTCGTCTGTCTTTATCTCCATCTCGCCCAAGTGTGCCGATTCTCTTTTTTTCATTTCTTTCTGCAGTACTTGGTATTTGTTTACTATGTCGTTGTACTTTGACTCAAGATTCTCTTTTTCTTCCTGCAGCTTTTCCAATTTGTTTAATATTTCGTCGTAGTTGGATTGTAGCTTTTCATTTGCTCCCTGCAGCTTTTGCCATATCGATTCTAACATTTCTTTTTCTCCCTGCAGCTTTTGAAATATCGATTCTAGCAATTCTTTTTCGCCCCGCAGCTTTTGAATTTGGTTTAGTATGTCTGCGTTATTTGATTCTAGCTTATCATTTTCTCCCTGCAGCTTTTGACACATCGATTCTAGCTTTTCTTTTTCCGCTTGTAGCTTTTGACACATCGATTCTAGCTTTTCTTTTTCCGCCAGTAGCATTTGAATTTGGTTTACTACGTCGTCATAACTTGATTCTAGATTTTCTTTTTTTTCCTGCAGGTTTTGACGTATCGATTCGAGCTTTTCGTTTTCATGCTGCAACATTCGCATTTTGTTTACTACATCATTGTAACTTGACTGTAGCTTATCTTTTTCTTCATGCAGCTTTCTCATTGCGTCATTGCTATTTGAAAGCACTCGCGCCCATTCGTTGTTTAAGTTGTCGATTTCTCTTGCGTGCTCACGACGCAATCTCTCATACTCCGCGGCGTACTTTGCGGCGCATTTCTTCTGTTTATAGTTATAATTATTATTATTATTTAAGGAAGCACCGAGGCATTAGGGTAGGTTTACTGGACTGTCGATACTTACATTGTAATAGAGAAAACCAGCGCCGGTCACGACGCCGCCCGCTATTGCCGCCGCAATGTATTCATACATCCTTTAAAGACTTCGGTGAACTTGGAATGACTTGGAATGACTTGGAATGACTTGAAATGACTTGGAATGACTTGGAATGACTCGTAACAACAAAAAAATATGTTTCGCGTTGCGTGTCTGTTCGACGTCTGGTGAAACATTGGTTGTTTACTCGAGGTCGCTAACGAGTAATGTTAATACTGAAATCGGCCAGCACAAAAGCCTAATAACTAAAAGCCTAACAACAGCTGTTATTACCTACACAGGTGCATATTGCTGTCGACCGAGTAATTAGTGCTGAACCGATGGATTTACGATTGGAAAAATAGACACATACCGTAGACACAAGCTGTAGCACATATTATATCAAACCCTTCGACTAGCATATACATGCATTTGTCGTCCCCTGAGATCTTTCCTTTGTCCGTGGCTCGACACCGTCGAGTGGGGCCAGTAAGACAACATTTTATAGGCAACATTAAGCAACATCAGGCCGAGGCCCTGAGACCGGCGGAAGACGCGAAACTAGCAGGGTACGTCGTGGTTAAGCGCAGTAGTTTTAGTGGCAAATCGCGGCGCTAACAACCGCTGTTTCTTCGCGCGCCTGGCATCGTCGGACAGACCGTGATCTCGTGGATCTAACGAGGGATCGAGCGGCCTTCTATACGCCCTAGCGGCTGAGAAATCCGGGAAAACTCCCATTTTCATTTGAAAATTAGTAATTTTCAGGCTTTGTTATTTTGCATAGCAACGGCCGCCGGCGGCCGGGTAAGTTTTTTGGTTTTGGCGGGTTTTCGGTCAAGGAGTGGATTTTTATGCCATTTTGACGTCGGCGACCTGTCTGAATCGCGCCAGAACCTTAATGTAAAGGGCTGGTGACCCTAAGACAAAGGGTAATGGCGAAAAATCGCGTTTATTGTTAGTGGGGCCGTAACATATGGGGTACAATCGACCATTACCGTACATGTTTTCTCAAAAAAAAAAAATGAAAAACCCTATCACCACTAAGTCTTACAACATAAAACCGTCGTAGTCTTTGCCCTTAAGTACTTGAAGGTTTTTTGGATTTTGAGCGACGATAGGTACGGGTTTTTTGTGACGTTTTTTTTTTAGGGCAAAGTCGTTTCGACGGCCAACTCATTTTTTTTTTTTGACATCACCGAGAAACGCTGTCACGTCTTGTCACGGCTTTATATAATAGTACACAGTGCTTTGGTGTCGTTAAACGCCCTTTTACCGGTACGGGGTGCCGGTCGACGGGGAGTTTTTTTTGTTTTATCGAGCTCATGAGTACTTAAAACCTATGTCCATATCTGTTATCTTTGCCGGCGTATTAGGCTGATCGGATCACTGTAGTTATTCTTCTAAAGAGAAAGAAAAAATTGTGTAATATAAATCCGCTGACGATAATAGATTTTTTTTTTGTCTAGAAGCCGATAGGTCAAGTTAAATTGATTTTTTTTGAGGCTTCAAATGTTTCTAACCGTTGAAATATAAATTAAAAAATAAAAAAAATACAAAATAGGTAGCTTTGCCTGACTCGATTCGAACCCGAAACCTCTTGATTATTAGTTCAAAGTGTTAACCGTTACGCCACTAAGACATATTCATACTAATAGGTAATTGTTTGGGTATTTAACGTGGAACCGTTTAACTTCACTCAAAAAAAGTTGACATAAAAAAATTTTAAAAAAATATTGAAGTCATTAATCGAGAGGAGTTTGCATACTTACACACGGACAGTAGAAATATATATATATATATATATATATATATATATGCTTAATGACGTCAGCACTGTGAACGACCCCTGCCATAAGACATGTCCATGTCAAAAAAAAAAAATGCAGTCAGAACGATTGAACGTGGTAACTAATAAAACGAACCCCAATCAGAGGGTGGACAAGTAATATAACAAAAATAATTTGACAAAATTGAACTTTTTCTTATTCATTTTCAAGTAAATGCATAAATGTCGCGGGTACGCCGTCTTTAGGTCAGAGAATTCGGTCAAGGTGGCTTTAAACTAGAATATTATGAGATAGGACAAAATAACAAAATATAATATATTTAAAACACTGACAAGATAAGAGTGCACTCTATATTCGAGAGATTAAACAAACACTATAATGTATTCCGAATGCACGACTCGGTCATGATCTGCCCTTATCTAACTTTTGAAGACCTTTATTTTATGGTCTCGCCCCATTCCGGTTTAATATTTTCCGGATCGTTTCTTTTTTTTACGATGCTATCAATATACCTGTTTATCCCTCCTTCTCTCTCTCTCTCTCTCTCTCTCCAGCTCATTTGCTTCTACGTACAAAATGACAATATTTTAGGTATAATATTTTTAAAAAAAACTGAACTGAAAAATGTCCGTTATATGGGTTGGAATGCAGTATTGTCCAGTATTGATTCGTTGTCTAATTTGCTTTGGTCGTTCATACCAAACGATACCTATTCAAATAGATATATGAATTATGACTATATAATATGAAAACATTTTCGAATATTGATTTAGCAGGCACGTCGTCGACCCTAATTACTGTTGTAAAAAATTCCTAACCCGTGCTGCCCGACAAATCCCATTAGAGAACCCCAAAAGGATTTATTATCCGGTACACGGCTGGATGTAGACACTTTAGCTGCTTTTACTATTCCGAACACGACTCGAATAAATAGGATTTTTGTCTTTGGAAAAAGGCAAATTTGGATTTTCTTCAAATTGCGAATATAAATGTTATTTATTTTTATGTTTTACATCATTTATTATACTTCTCGTACAGATGATTGAATCACACATTTGTTTTGTATAATTGCACTATTTTAGAATTAAACCTGTAAAGTTGTAGGACTATTAATACACGTTAATGATTAATTACACTTATGACATATTACTGACATATTATGACTATTACATAGTAAAAAAAAATGTTGTTTTACTCGTTTACTAGTTTTTTAAATTCAAATGTTACAATTTTTATTTAAATCGCCAAAAGCCGCGAACAAAAAATAACCTATTTTGGTTTTGCTGGAATACACTTATTTGCGTTTTTGCTCGGTTGGGTTTTACTGAGTTCTGTGTATAGAATCTGTCCAATTTCTCCAGCGCATGTGCGAGTGTGTGTTCCACTTCACTGAAAGTTTTCCCCTGCGCAGTTATCGCTAAATCGTCGGCATACAGGAAACGACGAGTAGTTCCCATAATGGCCTGGTCATTTGTATAGACATTAAAGAGTATTGGTTATGAAATGTATTAAAAAAAACATTTTTGGGTTTTTAAAAAGCTCGGAATTTTAACAGCTGATTAAAAGCTATCCGAATAGATTAAATAATAATAATGGCTTTTTAAATCATTGTTAGGTATTATTGGTTGTTATTTATTATTATATAACAGAATTCAGTTTTACGTTATTCTTATAACAGTATTCAGTTTTTCGTTATTCTTATAACAGTATTCAGTTTTTCGTTATTCGTCATCACGTCTCAGCAACATACTCGATTTTGTGAAACATGATGTCACTTAAATTGTATGCGGCCGGCGGATTTGTGGCAGGGTTCGGTTGTGCCTACCTGGTTGACTATTGCTGCTCTCGGTGGTTACAATCCGTACGTATGAATTTCAAAAATATTTCATTGTCACACTTAGGGAAACGGTCGCACACACAACTCCGCTTGTCCAGGGCCAGCTGACAATCTTTACGTGTTAAGGTAAGCGTCCATGTGTCCGCATCGGACGGGTCGTTTCAACCGGATGTACATTTTTTCCAGTATTGGCTATAGCACACTAAAATCCGTCCGATGCGGACTTGTGGACGCGCACCTTTAAGGCCGGGTGCAAGAAAACGATTATCTATTGAGTTTTTGGGCATACGTAAACCGCACCTCGTTTATAATTTGGTTTAAAAAACGTATGTGTAAACTGCGCCCGAGTTTTTATCAAGTGGAAAAAGGTTAGTACCTACATGTAAGCTGCGTCCAGCTTCTCGTCATCGGTATGAAATGCAAACAGCGTCCGAATCAATACAATCACGGGAATATTAACATTTTAGGGTTTCTACCACTTTTACCAAATTGCATAAATTGCCATGACGAGGTTTCTTGTCAGCATGTGGAATTAGCATTGATAATGAGGACGGCAGATATCCGAGTGTTTTGGCACTCGCTCGCTATTTGGCCTCGGATAAACATACATGGATGTCGCTTTCATTTAACACAATCGTACATTATTATTATAATGTATATATATATATAAGTTTAATACAATATAATACAGGGTGGGCCACGGAAATAGGGACAAAAATAGATGGGTTTTTCTCAACATTGAATGGGAGTAGGCAGGTCTAGATAAGCTCATTCGATCCGTCAGATGTCATTTAGTTATCACTATAGCGCAGTGGAGTGTCGTTCACCGTGTGTTTGCGTACGACGCGTTTGTGAAAAACAATGAATTGATAGTTAAGGTGCAGCGTGCCCCCGCTGCCAACGAATAGGGTCAAAAATAGATAGACATAACTCAGTATATTTTAGATGTACAAACATTTTATTAATATTTTATGATATGTAAATGAGTGCCATTTCATTTTTTAAAAATTTCATCAGACATATGACGGCCATCTTCTTTATAGCATGAAACAAGTCCGACGTTGAAGTAAAGCCCGAATGCACGCCTTTTCACGCCTGTAAAAAACTAGGTATTAGGCATTTAACAGGAGTCCCTTCTCACCCGACAACACACGAATCTCCCGCTC